CAAACTCACTCGTACTTTGACTGCAAATTGAATTTACTTTAAATGGTTTAGTGGTTTTCAAAGTATGGCCATTATAGAGCTACCAAGAGTTTATGAAATTAATGTTAAATTTTGTGTTTCACTACTAATATTTTATTAATTTGAAATTAAAACTTTAACTTGTTCAACCCTCTCATGCTTGAATTTTTCATTTGAGTCCTAAAGCATATTTAGATAGGCAACAAACTCATTTAGTATCTCAGTATTGTGATGCAATAATTTATTTTTGGCCGGCCAGGTGACTGAGCGGTCATCGTACCTAACTGCAAAGCCATTATTAAGTTGCGTTTTTTTTAGTTTTTTTTTTAAATATCCGTCGTTGAACAGCTGACCCAATTTAGGGTTTACGACTACTAATGTTTAACTCCGTAGGCTTGTAATTTTGAACCAATCCAGAGGAGACAAGGAAACTCCTGGATCAGTACCCCCAGAGGTAAGGTACCCAATAGTGTGGCATGGGTAATGCTGCTCGCCTCCTTGACCTACGTTCACAGACAAGAACGAGAGTTCAGTGCCTGCCGTTAAATAAAAATATTTATAGAAAATTTTGTCTTGTATTGGTGTCCTCGACATTGGTATCCACGTATGAGACCATAATATATTTATATCCAGTGGTTGGATGTAGCGCACTACAACTAAATAAACCACTGCAGTCGCTATTTTTTTCCGTAGTTTGTAGCGACTATATTTCGAAAGTAGTTTGTAGTCGCTACACTTAAAAAAAAGGTAGTTGTAAGGCAGGGGTGGCGAACCTTTATGCACCAACGTGCCATTTTTTCTAATATATTGTTTAATGAGGTCATAGACGTGCCGTCAAGTAATTTTGACTTCGTGATTATTGGCAAAATAATAATACAAAATAGTATCTCAAGACTTTTTAACTATACTTAACTTATTGTAACTCAAGACTCTATATTTACTATGAAAAAAAATACATTTTGCAATGTCTCCGTTATACGTGTAATTCAACTTAAAGTAACATCAGTGTGACTTCTGTTATTGCAGATTTGATGGCAAATAAATAATATTAGTTGTAAGATGCCAGCTTAAGCAGGACTGTTAATTTTTTTTGCTAGTCATTTATTGTTAGCTTGTTTTTTATGGTTATATATATTTTTTTGTTTTTTGGCATTGATTGTTAATTCTTTTGTTAATAATCGTTTTTTTTGTTTGTTTTTCGTGAATTTTAATTTAATTTTTAATATGCTTCATAGTGAACTTTGTGATCGGTGGCGTGCCCAAAATATTGTATCGCGTGCCATTGGTTCGCCTTGTAGGGGATAGAGCGTTCGCTTTCCAATGAGGTGCCCCAGGTTCGAATACTAATCTGTACGAATTCCGCATCCGGTTTGCACCGACTACAATGCTGACATAAAATATTCTCAGTGGTAAACGGATCATGGGCTAGAGTTCCCTTGCTGTCACGCTAACCGTGAGAGGTTCTCGTGGTCTTCCTCTCCAGGTAACGCAAATGAGGGTTAGTTCCATCAAAAAGTCCTCCACGAAGGAAAATTTCTCCTAATACTTGACCCAGGAGTTCCCTTTTCTTCTTGTCTTTTATTTTCTTTCTTTTTTTTTTCTAATTTTTTCCTTGCACTTTCAATTTTTTTTCCGATTTAAAAAGAGGTATTTTCAATTTCTGTGACATCTTAAAAAATTAAATCTTAAGATAAATATGATTCGAAAGTATAAAAGCATTTATCACATCAAATATTATTGAATCTGGTAATATTTCATAAATTCATTGTAAGTTGGATTTAAATTACTACAGTCTGTAATATGAAATTTAGAATTTCAGATAACTTTTAGAGCATATAAATATGCTCTAAAAGTGCAAAAATGATCTCAAAATTTGAGCTTATGTTATGTCTATTTGTTTTACATATACGTTGCATCAGGACTTCTCGTTTCAGTTCCAATTAAAGAAGCTCTAAACATTTTCATTTTATATGTCTAGTCTAGTTCATTTCAAATAAATGAATATTATAATGGAAGCTGTGTTATCATTTACTTTTAACTTTTATGGAATTTTTTTTTATTGACAATAGTTAACAATTATTTTGTCTTTGAATTATAAATTGAGAATTGTAAATTTTATAATATGTTATAATAAGTAAATAAACAACAATAAATAAGTAAATAAATAAAATGAAAAATTCTAGTGTGCCCACCGGTGAAAAAAGAGCTGGTTTAATTATGTTCATTACATAATAACCTATTTCTAAGATTATGACTACCCCTTTTATTACGCTGGTCAGAAATCCAAATTTTTCCAAACAGAAAACTAAAAAAAAAGGTATGTTTATTCCAAGAAGTACGTTTTTGTGTTCGATTTCGTAATTTAAAATATCGTCTACAGTAATTAATTAGTAGACTTGAGGTCACCCCCTCGAGCCATTTAGTTTCAGTCCTAGTACGTGAAGATCCAATCATTTGGTCAAAAGTTATTCAACGTGATTCGTTTTTTCCCCCCTCATTGTACATCTAATAATGTAAGTATGATCTGAAACAACATGAATTGTTATTACCATCTTACGAAAGTGCAGTGTAACGGTAGTCAGGTTTTATATAAAGAAAAATTTGAATATTTTAACGAATTCTACGGATTTTTTTTTTTTTTTTTATTGTTAAAACGACCCCGTTACAAAACATTTCATCGCAAAACTGACCCTCCATTTCATTTTTTTTTTTTTTTTTTTCATTTTAAAAATAGATCCTACATAAGGTTCTTATTTAAAAAACCGAAGTTGATGACGCCATTAAATCACAATTTTAAAACTACAAGCTTGATATATAGTTTTTTCTTCCCAAAACAGAACCATTATCTGTCCAGAGATGATTGTACTCCGGAAAAAATTCGGGCTTCCGGATTTTTTGCTAGCCGCGATCCGGTAATCCAAGGTCCAGAAGTTTCAAGAAATCGTCGATCACATTTATGTATAAAAATTCTTATATATTTTATTTAAAAACATTGGAACTAGAATTTATGCTTGGCATCTTCATTTGTGAATATTTTTTCCGGTAGAATAATAAATGTGATTAAGAGATAAAAGTAAACTTATACATAATTATTAATTTAAATCATGCTGCATATAATTTATTTAGAATTTCATGTTATAAAAATATCAATGATTTAAATTTACGAAGACATAATTTTTTTGAAATGCTTCATTAATGATTTTATTTGAGAAATTTTCAGGATTTTTGAGTTGATCCCTGTCTGTGGCAATTTAAGAGATTCAGAAAATTATGAGTGTATTTTTCACTAATACAGACCTCCAAAAATCTGGACCAACTACAAGTTTTTGTAACTTTTTCGAAATGTCTAAAACGGGAGCCTATTGAAGAAGATTGGCATACCCCTGATAATATTAAATTTTAGTAGAAAATAATGTAATGAATAAGTTTATTATCTTGCAGTTTGCCCTGCTGCCAAAAAATGTTTTTAAAAAAATCTGATGTTCATTTTATTTTTCCTTAAAGAAGTGCCTAGGGAGCCGTTTTGTCAGGTTTAATTACTGTAGTTTGATTGATCCTCCAAACAGAAACAGTCACGTTTGTCACTACAACCTTTTTGGATGTCTTTTGATGTATGAGGTGGCAAGGTTGCCAATATTTCTTTTCTCTAAAGGACTTTCTATCCTAAAACATTGCAAAATATATTCATTTACACTGGGGTATGTAGATCAGGCTCTAGAATATTTTCTTGTTGATTATACTTTTGGCAGGGATTCATATAATGTATGTTTTAATGTCTATATTCAGGAGGTTATTCCAGAGCTTTTATGAATTGTAAAAAACCTGAAACCTAATTTTATAAAAGTAGATTGCCATCTTTCGGATTTTTTGAAAAATGGCAAAAACCAATGGCATATTTAGACATATTTGTAAAAGTTCCTAATTTTGTAAATTTGTCAAAAATCTTTTTTTTTCTTTCAACAAAATGTTACTGTACAATCAGGTTCCTTAGGGCAGGATTCTTTTTTTATGTGTAGAAATAATTCGCTGTTATTCTAAAAAAAAAAAGCGTTTTTAAGGGGTTGTGGCCTTAAAATTATAAACTAAAGAAATCATCTTCTCTGTTTTTAAAAATGAAAATTTTTGTGAGGAGACCAATTTTAAAATGAAAATTGCCAAATTTCAAGATAAAATAATATGCGAAAGATCCGTTATTGTAAGGTTAAAAAAAAATTTTGTTAAGGGCTCGTTGATAGAACGTAATTTCTCATATCATTCCGTAAGTATTTTTTATTTACAGATGTCTGACGATAGTATACGTATATATATTGTGCTTTTTTATGCTTTTGTATTTTAGGAAATAGCATTCCAATTGTTTATTGTAAATAATTGTTTCCGGTAAATTTAGAATAATTTTAAGGCCAAATTTTACCAACATTTCCTACTGTCAATAATATTTCATATGAATATTTATCAGCATGTTTGAGGTGGGTTATGTTTGGTTTCGAGGTCGTTGCATAAACTATTTTAAGGATTATCTATTATATAAAATATTTTATAATAATTTATATTGTTTTTTAGCTTAATGACAAGCTAAAATGAATTGACTTTTAAAGTTATAGAAATTCTTGCATCACATATTTAAATGAAGCTCAAAATTTGAAGATAATTAATCTGTTTAGCTTTAAAAGGTTGTAATTTTGAATTTTATCCTTTTGGAAAATATTCATCCAACTGCAATAAAACTTAGGATTTCGCCTCCTGTAAATGCATTGCTTTACACAGTGTAAAAATTTTTTGCTCTTGTAGTGTATATACCACTGCAAAAATACAATTCCAATTCACTAGTATATAAGACATGTTAACTCGATTCTATGTTGGGGGTACCTTTTCATAGATTCATTGTCGTTAACTACTATCCTCACATTCTTATGTTGCATTTTTTAAGGTGTAATATGTAATTTGATCCTAAACAGATGTTTTTTTTCTCTCCCTTCTTTTAGTTGAAAGAGCGATGGCATCAGGTGTGGAGGTACCTTTAAAGAGCATCTATCACATTCCCCATCAACAGCAACCTCCAGTGACCACAAATGGAATTGCACCTGCTGTCACTCTCACTGTCCGACTCATCATGCAGGGAAAAGTATGTTTTTTCATTTCTGTACCACCATCTTATGCAGTCAACTAAAAATAGTGTGACTATGTTTTGTGAACTTGCAAAAAGGAAAAAATCTGGGTACCTTCATGCAATATTTACCTGTACTTAACAGGAGAGAAGCTAATTACCTATGTAGAAAAGAATTCTACTCAAAATGCATTCATATGATAAAGAAACAACCAGTCAGATTTAAAAGAATGAAAGGAAATAGCTTTTTTTTTTTTAAAGTCAATACTATGTAATTGTAAATACATGCTTATGACATTTACATGGCATTGGTCATCAGGACATTTAACCACTTCCCTTAGCAATTATTTTGAAGAAGAAAAAGGCAAAATATCAACATATTTTTTTTGCTTTATTAATAAATACAAAGAACTAAAACAATGCACAAGTTTTAAGTTGAAATTTAATTTTTTTTTAATGTGTCAGAAACCTTTAATTTAAAATCACTTTACTATTCCGAGTTATTTCGAGCAGATAAAAAAAGATAAATATGAGTCTTTGTAGAATAGTTCTTAAAACAAGGGACAACACGAAGTGGTACTTTTCAAACGTTAGTGAAGGGATACGCCATTTTTTTTTTACTCTTATTGGTATGTAAATTCAGCTACCATCGTATCTACAATCGCAGAAAACGCGTGTGCAGTCCCACAGTCCAACATCAAAACTCCCAAGTAAAACGTGGCAAACTTTCAATTACAGCAGATTGTTTTTTGCTTCCGACTGAGTAAAATTGTGATGGAACAAAATGTACTGACAAATTCTGCTAAGCCTGAGTTATCTTGGGATGATAAATATTTGCAACATATACGTACCCGAGTTAACTCGGGATAGTCAGGGAAGCGGTTAAATACTTATTTACCAACATTTTAAAACTTCAACATGGAATGTTTTTGCATTACTTATCAGGGGTCTGTCCAGGATAAGTTTACTGCTGTTTAGCAGTACCTTCACAAATTCAACTTTAGGAAAAACTCTAGTTTCACAAAATACTTTTAAAAAAGCAAGTTCTGTTGCAAACCCTTTTCTCGTTGCAATCTGCCAGCTGTATTTTACGAAAAGGTAGCACGTGTTAGTTTAGATAGTGCATTGTGGTAAGCCTAACTGGTCACTTACACAATTTATCAAATTTAGCATTTTTTTCGCTGAGTTTTTAAAAATAAAGGGCCCTCTATAAACATTACAGGGAGTCAAAATTCGAACATCATTCTCAACATTATCTTAAACTGTTGTAAATGCATTCTAATAAACCTTTATTTTTTATGAAACATTTTTTTCTCTGAAACTTTTTTTTGTATGATCTATTCAAAAAAGCTCTCATAATGAAAATAACTTTTAGTCCTAGTTCTGTTAAATGCATGTTGTTGTTTTTTAAATTCATGATTTTTATGTACTTTTAAATTTGGGCACAATTTTAAGCTAAAGATTTTACAATAGCAAAATTATTTTTGAATATATGGGGGAAAATATATAGAAATTTACCAGTCATAAATAATTTTTATTTGTAGCGACAATTTTTGAAGATATTTTCTTACTTCACCCTATTTTTGCGTTGATTTTTTAACAGAATTTTTAATTTTCACAAATTATGTCTAAATTTTCACAAAATAGGTACCTCTCAAAAAAATTTAGACAGAACCCTGCTAATCTGTAAATTAATTTGTCTTATTACTGAAATTTAAGCTGAACTACATATCAGACAATGAGTATTTTTTAACCACAGTTAAAATTAGCTACATTTTTTTTTTCTATGTTGCATTATTATAATTGTTAGTGTGTTCTTTCTAGTAAAACTTATTACTTTGGGTACAAGATTTGGGCTATTTCTTCATGAATCTACTTTCTATGTAAGAATTTACTTTTCTAAGAATTGTACATGGTGCGTAGCTTGTTTAAAAAGTGCTGATTTTTGATTTTCATTTTTTAAAGGCATTTAAAGTTGCTTTTTTTATTGGGTATTTATAAAAAGTGCTCAATTTTCCCTTTTCAAAATTGAGATTTTTTCTTTACCATGTCAATTTTTGCCATGTATATTATGCAAAAGCATGGTTTTCACAATTCATTCAACTGCAATCCATTTCGGCTTACCGTCAGTCCGTAGCGTATGAAAGCGCCAGTCATTTTGCCTGTATGACGTAATACTTGCGAGTCCGCATGTGGGTCTACTAAGCTGGGTTCGGTGAGATTCTTGCACTGTCATGTGTAACTCCCCTTCATTTTGCAAGATATATTCTCCATTTCAGGCTTCATTGTCCACCCTCTGAAATCGAACCGAAAAATCTCTAGATCTTTTTATGGTGGTTTATATAATCAAGAAAAGAGTTGTTTGTCAAAAACTAGTTATTTTATTATGATTATGTAAATTCTTAGAAAATTATTTTCCATTTTGTTATTGTATATAGTGCTTAAAAATATTTTTTAAAGCTTAAAAAGTACTTAAAAGTGTTTATTTTTTGTTGAAAGACTTGGCTATGCACCCTGTTGTATTTTACTTCCCCTATACTCTTCATGTATATGCACAAATGCTTTATAAAGTCATTTTGCTTGTCAAAGTTGAGTATATAAGTTATCATAGAGACAGCTATTTATTTATTTCATTCTCAGAAGTAAGAAAGAACAACAAAAAAAAGTTTGAGTCTTATATAGAAATGTTTTACTGCTTGTTCTTAATAAACGAATAATAATTTAAGATACATAATGCCATTAATTCAGCGAAAATGATCAATTGTAGCCACTTAGAAGGGAGCTCTTGAAAGTGGTTCTGCAGGGTTGCCACAGGTGACTAAAATGCAACTATTTTCTACCTGAGGCAACTATGGCTACTTTTTTTGCCTGAAAAGGCTATAAAAGCAACTATTTTCAGAAAAAGGAGACTAAAGGGAGTCTTTTCTGTGCTCCTAGCAATGTTTTTTTTTTTTTAGCATAAATTGGGTTGACAACCTGCGGTAGCTTCTGAACATAATAAATTTTTTCCCCCTGAAAAATAAAAAATATTGAATTGCAAATTTGAGTCATCACTTTTTAATGCGCTCAATTTGCACAGATTCCATTGTGAATCTATTTTGTTTCTCAATCGCCTTTTCAACAGTTATTGCTACGAAACTCTGCATGATTTTAAAGAACCCAATTTTTAATACGATACTATTATGCATGAATTTCGAATTTTAGTAATCACTTTTTCAATATATATATATATTTGCTAAATCAATTATTAATAACAGGAAAAATTATGTGAAAGGGAAAATTAAAAGAGTGTTTTTTTTTTAACAAAAACTTATTTTTCTGCATTAACTCTAGCATTTAAAAGTATTTAATGTTCTGCAAATATACTGATTTTTTTTTATATAAAAATTTAGTGCTAGAGCACTAACGTTTATTTAAATATTATCATATTGGCCATCAACTTTGCCGAAATGGATCATGGTATATTACAATGAAGTCTTTTAATAAAATTTTAGTCATATTATTGAAAAATTTTTGTTCTTATTTAGGCAACTATTTTCATAATTTTAGGCTACTATTTTCATGGTTTAGGCTACTAGAAGCAACTATTTTGTTCGTTTTTTTCTGTGACAACCCTGTTCTGCTAGTTGTCACGGCTAATAGTTTTCATACATGAAACATGGATAACATATATACATAGATATTATACATTGTTAAATAAAAGATTACATTAAACCTTATATATATTATGCATTATGTAAATTTTAATTTTACCTTTATCTTTTCAGGAAGTTGGTAGTATTATTGGGAAAGTAAGTGTATGTCTTAAATATCTTTAAAAAAAATATCATCAAAAATTAATTACTCAATTATTTTTTTTAATTTTTTTTGCAGAAAGGAGATAATATAAAGAAATTCCGGGAAGAAGTAAGACTTCTATTTAAGTCTCTGTATTCAGTACATTTGGTTAATTTTGTAACTGTTCCTTTTGTACAAAAATTTCCCATTAAGTAGCATTATATCCATAGAATATATGGTTTCTCTGTGTAGCATTGTCTCTTGAAAAAGCTAATTTGTTATTTTGGATAACAAATATTACCAGATAATAAACTCAACAATTGATATGATTCCACTATGCTTGTTTTCTGGACATCAGAATAGGTGCATAGTGGAATCTTATTAACTGTAGAGTCCTATTAATTGTCTAGAAAACAGATTTAATGAGAAAGTAACTTGTTTAGAAAAATTAATACAACACACAAAGGCTTTTATGGCACACTGTTTTCTCAACCTTTTACCAATCTTTCAGTTATTAATACTAACTGTGATTTAAACTATTTCAAAAGAAATATTGGTAGGTTTTTTTTCAAATTAAACTTACTAAAAATCTAGGGTAATTTTTTTTCCTCCCAAAATTGTACTAAACTTGTTCAAAAAAGAGAAAAAAATCAATTATTGTCACAATTATATTATTAATTTTAATAATTATATTATTATTATTATTAATTTTAATAATTATATTATTATTATTATTAATTTTAATAACTAGCATCTTACTAACTAAAGTTGCATGAGAAACTTCCAATTAATATTCTAAAAAAGAGTAAACCCAAATAGCTCAAAAAGTATAAAATTAAAATTTAAATAGTTTTTTAACTGTGAAATTTGACTTAAATCAATAAAAATGACTACTCTAAATCAAATCATTGATCAAATATAGAAAATATAAAATTTTTATGCAAATATTTCTCTTAAACATTTGTCACTAAGTATTTTATTTGTACGATACACTAAATAGTTTTTACAACTAAATAACAGTTTAACTTTTTAAACTGCATTTTATCAATTCATTTATTTTATATATATTTTCCTGATTAACTGTTTAAGTAATAAACAGTGGCATAATTAATTCTGTTTTAACAATATAGATCTTAAGTGATCTTAAAGTTCTCTATCTTAAATACAGCGCATCTTAAATGATGGCCTAGAGTTGCAAAAGTGTTGGCAGTGGTTCAGGCCAGCCCCAATTTTTCACTGCATTATCAAATCTTTTTCTTGCTTCCCCTAAACCCATTATTCTCTTTGGTTCTATTAATAGCTGTTGTTATCTAGGGAATTAACACTCTTTTTAAGCTATGCTTAATGGCATTTAAAACTGCTGTAATCATCACTCCTAAATTTACCCCTATATTATTTTCATTGCTCAGCACTGAGTTTATTGGTTTTGAGTTGTAAAAATAATGTGCAAAGTAAGGATTAAATCTTTAGTAATTAATGTTTCGACTTAAAATCCAGTGCATTTGTAACAATAACGTGAATTTTTCCTGATAAATTGTTCCAAATTTTAAAATATGATATTTTTAAATTTGGAATTTTATAAATATCATTATTAGAGAATAGATACATCTGGAATGAGATTTGATTTTAAAAATCAGCTCATGTATATCACTGTTCAGGAAATATATTTTATTTAATAACTTTTGTTGAATGTCAGCATTCTGTTCTTAGCTTTTTGTTAATGGCCTAGTTAGTAAAAAAATTTGATTCAAATAAATTCTTCATATGCGTGCCTGCCAAGTCTCTTGTTTTTCAACGAAGACTCTCGTATTTTATGATTATCTCCTATTTACCCGTATATTCTCAAATTTCTCCATATTTGTTGAAGAAATTTTAAAAAAACAACACAATTTTGACTATAAAATATCCGCTGATGGAAAAATACTTCTCTTATTCCTTATCAGATAGTGCTATTGCCAGTACTGCAGTATATTGAGTGTTAATAGTTTAAGTAAATATACATAATGGCTTAAAAAATCTACTTCAGATTAAAATTTATATACATTTTTTGACTTCGCTAAATGTAAGTGCTTATATTATTTCCAATTTTGAATTTTTCTTTTTGACTTACATGATTATGCATGATGTATCAAAACTTTACTCGTAGCTCAAAAAAACATCGCTAGTAAATTTTCTGTTATCTTATCAGGGTTGCCACTCCACCGGAGAACAGGAAAAATCTGGAAAATACAGGGAATTTAAAAAATCACCTAAAATAGCAGGAAAAATGCAGGGAATTTTGTCTTTTAAAGAATGGTGACCACTCAAAGCGTAATCTATGGGATATTTAAACATGATATTTCAGCTATACTAAACTATTTCATTTACTGTAGCATTATTTAAGTATGTTCTGCTGTTTTTCCAGTAATTAAGAACTAGTAAATATAGTTAGCCCAATATAGCTCACACAGTATCAGTAATTGTTTCCTCTTAATATATTGTCTGCAGTGAAAACACAGGGAATTTTTTTCTCCAGATTTGAGTGGCAACCCTGTTAAATACAAATCAATACATTATTCTTAAATACAAACATGTTGGCAGGTATGCATATGTAATACATATGTTTCAAGATTAAATTATGTAGTGTTATTTTTTAATATTTTATTTTTCTATTGCAATTTTATCGTTGTTTTGTAAGACTTTTTAAGTGTTATAAAAGTGATTCTTTTTTTAATAAGCATTTTTGTGTTTTAGAGTGGAGCTAAAATAAACATATCAGATGGATCGTCTCCAGAGAGAATTGTAACTGTGACTGGCTCAACAGAATCCATTCTCAAAGCGTTTTCTCTTGTTGCTCAAAAATTTGAAGACGTAGGATTCTCTTTTTTTCTGTTTGATATTTATAAACATTCGACAAACAGGGGTCTGTCCAGAGTAAATTTACTAGCGTTTAGCGGTACTTTCACAAATTCAACTTTAGGAAAAACGGTAGTTTCACAAAATACTTTTAAAAAAGCAAGTTCTCATGCAAATCCCGTTCTCGTTGCAATCTATGGAAAAGAGCTTTTCTGAAAACTTTCTTTTATGAAAAAGTCAGATAGTGCAATGTGGTAAACGTCACATCAAAGCGAGTTTCTTTTTTCGCTGAGTTTTTAAAAATGAAACTACAAGCCCTCTATAAACTTTACAGGAAGTCAACATTCGAACATTATCTTAAACACTACTGTAAGTTCATTCTAACATACCTTTATTTTTATGAATCTTTTTTTTTTCCTCTGTGAAACTTTTTTTTTTTGTTCTACCTAATCAAAATTGTTCTCATAATGAAAATAACTTTTAGTGCTAGTACTGTTAAATGCATGTTTTTATTAAATTCAAGTTGAAATTTAACTACGGACAAATTTGAGTACTATTTTAAGCCCAAGAGTTTACAATATCAAAATTATTTTTGAATATATGGGAAACATATTTCGAAATTTACCAGTCATAAATAATTTTTAATTTGCGTGACAATTTTTGAAAATATTTTCTTACTTTACCATATTTTTGTGTTGATTTTTTTAACATAATTTTTAATTATTCCAAAGTATGTCTAAATTTTCACAAAATAGGTACCTCTCTAAAAAACTTAGACAGATCCCTGATAAAGTGTATGCATCATAAATTCAGAGTATTCTGTCAGTTTAATAATTGATTGAAATGAGTATTTTCATTTAAAAGAGAAATTTCTTTGTAGTCCTTCACCAGTTTTTATGTCTTCTGATGCTTTGCAATGAACTACAGAGGAACTACCCATGACATGAGTTTTCTTTTTCTTGAAATGGCATAGATTATCGAGAAACTAGATAACTAATCTAGGTTTATGTTATTTGTATAAAAATTCAGCATATATAGCCTAGCTTATGTAAAAAAATCTATAAATTTCTTGATATATATATATATATATATATATATATATGACGTCGTCGCCAAGTGGAAGGATAAAAACAGGTCTTTGGCATGGAAATAGAGTACAAAATTTATTTGTTAATTATAATTTGTTTGTTATTTGTTAATTAAAGGCAGTGCATTTATCCATAAAGAGTATCACTTTTCTTTTTTTAGCGAATAATTTCCGATCCAATTTTCTTACATAGTTTTCAAATAAAACTGATGTCATCCAAAACTTTTTGTTAGACTTGTAATCCAAAGGATACGTTTTTACATTCTTGAAACATCGGGGATTTCGCTTTTTTTCCGATAACAAGTAAGAGCAATTTCTCTGTCCCAGACGCATTTCCTCCAACTAGGACATTCAAACGTTCCTTGCTCATTTTACCCCCTGAGCAGTTCTCATCCTTAAACATATTTCATCAATATTGAAAACATCATTTTAACTGTATCCTTGAAGTAAATTTGGTAACGTTTCACTTAACCACTGTTCACATACTTCAAGAGGGACAGCTTTATCTTCTCCATGAAGAGTGCGAAAGACATTGTGTGTGTGTTGCAAAGGAAGGGACAAGATATCAGCTCCTGGGTTTTTTTTTCTTGCTTTAAAAGATCCAAAAAAAATCGAGTTAAAGGGAGTAAAATTCGAGTAATCGAGAATAATTAACATGAAATTGAAGATAAAAGGGTCGGGACCTCATAAAAAAATCGAGTTATCGTACTTCGAGTTATAGCGAATTGACTGTATATATTTATTTATATATATATTTATTTATATACATATATACAGTGAAACCTCTCGGGGGAGCGACCGATCTCTGTTCCACAGTAAAATGGTAATAATGGAGGTGGGTCATTCTTAGGGGATACCTCCATTGACTTCAAAATGTTATTGAAGGTACATAAATTTTTGCTAGCAATTTTAATTTAACTCAGTCTCATTTTCTTGGTGATGAAATTGTACTTGTGTTGATGTCATGAAAACAGGATCGATGAATAAAATTTATTGTCAATAAAAACTACCTTTATTGATATTATGTGTAAAAACAAACTTGACAATTATGAATGATAGAACTATTTTTAATAAATAAAAAATTATGTTTTTTGTTTAAGTTTGCATTTATTTTTATATCATAAAAATTAGTTAGCTTTCAAAAATGAGAAGAGGTTTATTTGGGATGGATGTTTAGTTTTTTTTCTTTCTGAAGTATCTTTTTTTTCTAGTTTAACTTTCAAGTCTAAAAATGAATCATTGATAGCATAATCTTTCATACACTCTGACTGCAATATGGCATTGTCGATCTCTTTCAGAGAAAAGGAGGTTTTTAAGAGCCACCGACAAATATTTTGAATACATTTAAATCTACTTATTTGTTTTGTTAATATTTTGTTTTTAAATTTTTCGTATTTCCTTTGTTGACTTTTTCTGTATTTGGTGCAGAGATTTGCCCTGTCACTGGGGGATGTTTTGATGGTCTTTCGTAAAGGTTTTCTTCAACAGAAAGTCTGCCTCCCGAAAGAGGTCGCTGTGCAGAGTTTATCTTTCTTGGTGGTTTCGCTGTATATATATATATATGTATATAAGTAAAATCTACCATTAGTAAAACTATTTGATGAAACTTGACAATTTTTTTTGTAAATTCCATTTTGATTTTGGAAAGCTAAATATTAAAGTTATAAACGATTTTTTAACACTCATTTATGTACATGTTTAAAATTAAAAGGTATAAATAAAAGTATGCTTCTAAGAATGAAGCTATAATTTAAAATTAATTTGTGGCAACAAAATATTCCTGTATATAAAAAAAAAATTTAACAAAAAATTTCATTGTGTTAATTTTTTTTTCTTCACAAGACAATTTTTTTTACAGTTCTTAATAGCTTAATTTTTTTTTTTTTTTTTTTTTTTTTTTTTTTTTTTTTTTTTTTTTTTNTTTTTTTTTTTTTTTTTTTTGAAGAGAGATAATTTGATCCTTTTTCAGGCCCCATTATACCTATAAATAACTTACCACTCTAAATATTAAAATTTTATTTTTTAACGTTTAGTGACCACTTTATTTAATGGTCTCCAAATATTACATGATATATGTGTAAATAATGTAAAAAGTTTATAATGTCTTGTAAAGTTTTAGTGGTTGCATCCATTTTTTTAACAATTGAAAGACTTTGAGTGCAACGAGTTAGCCTTTTTTTATTGACATACTACTCATCTAGTTCAGTTTTGTGTTGTATCACTAATTTTTTGTGTGAAATAATAATTTAAATTCTTTCCAGGACTTACAAGCTAGTGTAACAGGCACCAATGTACCCAAACCTCCTGTTACTTTACGCCTAATTGTTCCTGCTAGTCAGTGTGGCTCACTCATTGGTAAAGGAGGATCCAAAATCAAAGATATCAGAGAAGTAAATTTTATTTAATAATTTTTTATGAAGTTAGCGTAATTAATACATATCTGCATATTTATGCATTTATACTTCTCTTACATGGCAACAAAGAATTGAAATATCAAGAGGGTGTCATTAGCAGGAGAGCGTAAACATACTTGTTTACAAATTCTTTTTTTGTGGGGGCCAATTTATAAGTTAAGAATAAGTTAAAGTTTAAAAGCAAATAATTTATATCAGAAAACAAAGTATTATATTTTATGCTATAATTATACTTATACAGGGTAATAACAATTTCATTCATTGTTATTCAATAAAAATGAGTAATAGTCCTCCTGTTGCGCTTTTTAAATATAGTTTAAAAAAATAGTACTGAAAGAGAGGAAGTTATGAAAGTTGATGACAATTTGTTATGAAAGACGTAACATTGAAAGAAAGGGGAAGGGGACGTGCCGTCATACGTGTTTTATTAAAATTGCTATTAATGTTCAGTTGCTGCAAAATTTTCTGCACGTTATTTGCTTCAATTTAATATTTTTTTATACTAACTAATTGACTAAAAATTTTAATTTTTTGAAGAATTAGCTTTGAAATTTTTATTTTTATTTCTTATGGTTTTATACTAGAAACATTTCAAATAGGTTTAACTTCGTAACAAGTGAAGCGAGCATTTTTTTTCCACTCTTGTATCGTTTATGCAAGCTGTCTTTAAGTTGGGAAATGCCTGTAAAAAGGGGCCTGATTCCATATTTTATAAACCTTCTGATTTTTAAATTTACTGGGGAAACAAGTGCTTATTGTTGAAATTTGACACCAGAGTAGTAAGTAATGGAGCTGCTTACTTTTTAAAGCAAATGCTGCAATTTTAATTTTAGAACAGCGTTTTCAAAGATTATTTAAAGAAAATTTTCTCTTTCATTTATTTACCATTTTAGATTAAAACTGTGCTTGTAGTGTAAAATTAATTTATTCTTACTTTTGATGCTTGAGGTTACATTATCTGCAGTGTGTTGTAAAAGTATTCAAATTTAATTGGTATGCATTTCATTTTATTAATTCAACTGTTTTTCTCTCTCAAAAAAAAAAAGAGAGAGAGAAAAACCTGTTTAAGAAATAAGATTTACCATGATTTCTTTTCCATAGAAGTCTTATTTCGAAAGTAAGCCTTAAGTAAAGTAGTAAGAAATTTTACATAATTATCAAATGCAACATCCATGCTCATTTTATGCCTATTAGGCAAGACTATATTAAATTGGAATCTTTAGTACTCAGAGTTTCAAATTATACAGCATTCAATAGGCTCTTCAACAAGCAATTTACACATAAAATTAATAGTATTGATGTACTCAGATAGAATTAAAAAAATTCTCCAGCGGATGTTTTTGCTGTATTTAAATGTAGCAATAGTTAATATAAAACCAGTTTTATTTTATTTTGGAGAAAGTTTTTATGCTAATTGTTTAAGATACTTATTGTATTGTATAATCTGTACAAATCAGAGTGTTCCTTAACATTGTGCGTCATGAATGGCATTTTTGCTATATTAGTTATTCTTATCTCTTTGCAGGCTACAGGTGCTTCCATTCAAGTGGCAAGTGATATGCTTCCCAATTCAACAGAGCGAGCTGTAACTATATCTGGAACTGCTGAAGCACTTACAAAGTGCATCTATCAGATATGCTGTGTTATGATGGAGGTAAGTTTATAGGGTCGCTTCAACTATTTTCTCATCTTTTATTCCATTCATACACACTCTCCCTAAATCTTGTTCAAATTTTCAATCATTAATAAAATACTTTTTATTCATCCACTTAAGTTCAAATACATTTTTTTTTTATACTTGTAATGGATGACGCTTGATATTAATACAGTTTTTTCAAATGTTATTCATTCATTAAATAGGGATGAGCGAAAAGAGAAATGGAATTTTCTGACGGGTTAAGCGTTAGTCATTGTTTTAAATTTTACTTTAAACGATTCAGTTTTTCACGAACTTTAAAAATAACATCAGTGATAATTTCTAACTTATAGCTCTATTTGAACAAAAAAAAATAGTTTATTGCACACATTTAAATAGTCATTTATAAATTCAATAATTTTAGATAAATTCAATAAAGAACATTACGTGGTAGCAAGTGTGGTCACATCACCAAATTTGTACTTTTATAGTTGTCTGAAAAGACATGTCTTTTTTTTTTCCAATTCCTATTATCAGTTTACACTCTTCCTATGTATATTTATATATATTTTTCAAATTTTAGATCATTAATAAAATACTTTTTTATTCATCCACTCAAAATACAAATACAATTTTTTATTCTTGTAGTGGATGAAACTTGATGTTAATACAGTTTTTTCAAATATTAATTTACTAGTTTTATGTAATTATAGTTTTATATGAGAGAAAAAATTGTAATTATTTAATGAAAAGTAACTAAAATAAAATTTTTCTTTGTTGACCTAAGTAGGAATGGACTTTAATTTATTTTTTTTATATTACTTGTTATTCAGTTAATTGTTGTACTCCTGAAGCACTTTAATAAAATATTCTGTGTTATCAAAAGATTATTTTTTAAGTTGTTCTCAAATACTACAGTTTAATGAATTTTTCATTCATCTAATTTCAACACTCATGTATTATGTTTATCAAATATGCTATGTTGCAATGAAGATTGATTTTGAAATCATTGCCAAATGTTATCATTCCAGCACTCATAAAGCAGATTTATCACTATGTTGCGATGCATATTGTTTTGTTTTTTTAAAGTCATTTTCAAATTTTTAGATTTAACAAATGTTCTAACTAGGCAAAAACAATTTTTCAGGTTAATGAACTTGTTTAAAACACTCCTAAAGGGCATGCTACCCTTTCAAAATTTTTCTTTATTATTTTATATGTACCCTTTTCTTTTTTTTCAGTCTCCACCGAAAGGAGCAACTATTCCATATCGGCCCAAGCAAGCTGTTTTACCCTTGTTGTTTTCTGGTGCACAGGCTTATGCGATGCCCGGACAATATGCCTTGCCGCATCCGGATGTAAGTTATCTTTTGTGTGGTTCTTTTAGTGTATGTGATTTCTTACTGACATAACCTGAAATTAGGATTATCATTCATACTCAGTCAAAGTCCCTGGTTTAACATGACATGCAGTGTTACGAGATATACTTTATTAACAGGTGTGGTCGCTGTGAAAATAATACTATAAAACCTATATAAAACACTTTTTCTGACCATAGCTCAGACTTTGCAAGGAACTTTTCGAGAAGAAGGATTTCCTTTAAGAATTTTAAAGGGAATTTTGATCCTTTTGTCTCTTTGCCCACGAGCTCTTACTGACATACTATCATTTCGATGTGAGCACACATTTTAATTTCAGAGCTTGATAGCCAATGAAAAATCTAAACGTGCGAGAGTCAGACAAATAAAATTAAAATGTTCAATTTTCATTAAATATTTTGATTTTTCTGATTGTTAATTTCAAAGCCATACTCGTGCTATTAATTTTAAATATTAACTGTGGTGAACAAGTCTGATCTATTATTCCAATCCATATTAGTGATGCTGTTGAATCGGCTCCAGGTGAATAAAAATGTTTACACTTAAAAATAACTTGAATAGAATATGTATATAATAATATGTATATATATGTAATATGTTATATAAAAGTTACCAATACAAAAGTTAACAATTTGAATGTATTATATAAAGGCAATATTACCGTGTTAAGTTATACTTGTATAATATTGATAAAAACATTTTAAAATTGAACATGTGCCCAGGTATTCATGCATGCCTCTTGTCTGCTTTTTTATTAAATATTCATAGTTGATAGATTTAAAAACTAATTTCGTTTTTTTTATGATCTTTTTTCTGTAAGTGATAAAATTATTATGTTTCATTGGAATTATGGATATTTATTTTATCTTCCAACATTCTGCTGATTTAATAACTTTTTTTTATCTTTCTTGCTAATTATTTCTGCTTATTCTTTCTGTGATTATAGGTAAGAAAGAAATATGTAATTCTGAAAAGCAACTTTAAATACATGTTGTATTTAAAAAAAATTATATGTAAATTTCTTTCTCCGTCTTTGCTTTTATTGGAATTTTATTTATCTATGTTAAAGTTAAAAATAAATGAATATCACTATTATAATGTATTTAATCAAATTTTGAAAACCCCTGTACTGTCTATTATTTTCCTTTTACACTTAAAACAGTAAGCTAGCAAAAAATTTTACAAAACTGTATGTTTCATTTTATTTAAGATAATACGACATGGCTATTTTGGAAATCTGTAGTTAGTTATTACTGTAGCAGAATTTTCTAAATCAATCTGCACTACCACCTGCATAATTTACCAGCAACCCAAATTTAATCTAGTGGAGACTAATATTGCTTATCCAAACTTATAGCTAAATTTGAATTTGTAAATAGTTAGTAAACCCAAGAAATTAATGTTTAAAATTAATTTGGAACTTTTTATTATAAGGCTTAAAAAAAGGTAGAATAAAACCACACTTAGCTAAGTAACAAAATAGATTTATATCAAGTTCAAGATTTGTACTATCCATACAATCATTCCAGTTAAAGCATTTTTAAGTTATTGTTGAAAAATCTTTGCTTGCCCAAACATGCATTATAGTGAAATTCGTATGTGTAAACATAGAATAGATTTAAAAAATCAACGCACAAACTACTTTAAAATTTAATTTTAAATTAACAACATATTACTTAAGCCATTTTAGGACAAATATAGAAGTTTTATAAAAATTACATATTATTTTCATTGAAATATGCTTACATTACATTCATTAAGACATGAAAAATTTATATATGAAAAATTATATTTTATTTAAGAAATAAAATAGTGTGTAAAGGCAATCAGTGAACTAAACATTTAGTTGAATTCTAGTTTTTTATGAAATTTGTTCCATTCTTTATTTTTTATTTACTGACTTGCATCTTTAATACATCATAAAAACATATGATAAATCTCAAAAAGACTATTTATACATTTTCAAAAAATTTCATTTGTGAATAACAGTTTTAAGTTTAAAAAAACTTGAATAGTTTAAAAACATAAAGTGTTTACTCCAATTGAATTACTAATAATTTATGAATGTCTTCAAAACCCTTGATAATAGCAGAGTAATAAAATTAGTGAAAATTATACGCCACAGTGTTGATGAAAAATATTTATTGAAATGGTGCGTTTGCACATCTTTGGAAATGGGTTAAGATAGAAGATAAATCCATAGTTGTAATTTCTAAACGTTCTTTTCTTTTTTTAAAATTTAAATAAGTTATATTTTAGTAAATAAAATTGCACCATTGCCTGTAATAAAAAATATTTCCTGTAATTTTGAGTTTCTGCTACTGCATTATCAAAAACACCGCATGATGGAATTATTTTGGAAGTCAGATTTCAAACAGGGGAAAAGATGATTCCATTATTGTTCATCAGTGAATATCGAAAAGAAGAATCTTTATTTTCTAACTTAATCTGTATCTTATTCAGGAATTTTATTTGCTTAAAAAAAAATTCCTTTATTATTATTTTATTACCCATTAGCAAAATGGATCTTGGTTTGGATTTGATGACTTCCACACACTTTTCAACTGTGTTCAAGAGTAACAGTGTGCATGCGTCGTCATTGCATGCATTGCTATGGCGACCGCTGCTGTTTTTATTTTCACTAGTAGGCATTTTTAATATATTTACATAATTGTTGTAACATAAACATAACCATTACATAACCGATCGTAACATAAACATAATCGTTGTGTTTCATAATACAGTACAGAACCCGGTATCCGGAAATCAGAAAACCGGAAAACCAAAAAACCGGAACAAAATTCGATAAATTTTCTCGCCATTTTTAAAAAAAAATTTTTTTTTCCTTGTAAGATTTTACGATTTTTCTTTCTTTTTTTAAAGAGGTTTACCTTACCATCATTTTGGAAATAATCATTAGTGTATTACTTCATCGTTTTTTCTTATTTTTAAGATTATTTCCAATTTTTTTTTTTTTTAGTTGGGCTTAACAATTAAAAAAACGGCTTTTTGTAGCGATTCAGAAAACCGGGAAAATCAGTTATCCGGAATAGCGATGGTCCCGACCGTTCCGGATAATCGGTTCCCTACTGTATATGCATATTGCTTGAAAATATTCTTTCTAGATACATTTTCATTTACAGTAGAAAGTATCAAGTCTGTTTTTTCCCCTTCAGGAATTAAACAAAATGTAACAGATCTTGTTATTGCATTAAATATTTATATTAGGATAATTAATCTCTAAATTTTTTGTTGTAATTCTTAAAATTATTTATATATATTGCCAGGGCCCGATTAACCTCTGAAAATTGGGGAAGCATAATAGGATTTTGGGGCCCCCCTAACTTGGGCAAAATAAACTTTTGATATTTTTCGCCCATAAACAATACATTTTAAAGAGACGAGAACCATGTGAAAACTATTAGAACCTTAGAAAGGAATACAGAGATCCTATGCAATCATGTTGGACCTTTCTTTACATGCTTTATAGTAGCAAAAACATGTTAACAAAATTTAAATATTTCACTAAATTAAATTATAAAATTTCTTGTTGTTATACGAAAGGTTCTTTGCAAGATTAGTCTCTTATTTTACGCCAATTTGTTTACTAGCGGCAAAACAACACAAAATTCTAATTCAGCATAAATTATTGCTACTGCACCAGAAAAATCATACCAAATAATTTTCAAACATGAAACAAAAATATTTTTTGTACTGATAGATAACAATAAAAAGCAGAGTAAAATTAAATTGAGCACGCATGATAGAGAAGAAAGATTTTAAAAAAAACTCATAGGTTACCATTACATAGGCTTTTTTTTCGCTTTCAAATTCGCAAAATCTTCAATAATATCTGCAAATTGTAACCTATTTGTAATATCACTCTCTATTGCTAAAAGGGCTAAACCACTTAATTTATCATTTGAAAGAGTTGATCTCAACCGATTTTTTATTCTTTTCAATGCAGAAAATGAACGTTCACTAGTGCAGTGCAAAAATAAGAAATTGGGCCCCTAATTTCAGTAATTTGGGGTGCCCCCTAGAATTTTACAGGGGAAGCACTTGCTTCCTGTGCCTTTTCGGTAATCAGGCCCTGTATATTGCTAATATTAGTTTTAGCTAAATTATTAAATATTATTAAGTTTTTTTTCTTTCTGTTTATGTTGATATTTATTTCTACTATTTGTGGTAATATGAAGCATATTTTTATTTTAAGCCAAAAATCATTTTTAAATTCAGAATGTTGTTTGGCTAGTCAGTATCAATAACTGCACTCATAGAGTACAAATCAAAGAAACATATGCACTTTTAAATTCGTCAAAATCTCGATTCTAAACTGAATTGCCTGAAACATGCTAATTTGAAATATATTGTAGAATAATGCATACAAAATATATGTTTTTATTATAATCATCCTCAAATGATAGGGACAGTTGTTTATTATAAATTAAATTTGATGCTACTTAAATTTTATATTTATACTTAAACACATGTTTAGAATTCGGTAATAACTCTCTTTTATAACATGCTTTTCTTTCACTTATTGTATTGCAAAAGGGTGTTCTAATATAGATGTAGTGGTGTTTGTGCCTTAACACTTATTATTTATTACATTTTACCTTTCCTGTTGTCTTAACAATCCTTCATTTGCTTACAGGTTTTTATCATCATATTGATTTTGTATTCAGTTTTTTAATTACAGATACATTTATTTAACCACTCCTTTTATGTAAGATTTTTGATGTATAGTTTACGATATGTATCTCCTATCTTTCTATTTACAATAATAAGCCTAAATTATTTTTGAAAACATTTTAATAAAATAGCCACAAATTTTCATGCTATTATTTAGTGGATATAATTTAGTTTCCTTGGTTGCCAAAATCCTGATTTATTAACCAAAAATGCCCCTAAAATATTAAACACTTTCCTGAATTGGTTCTAGTTATTAATTTTTTTATCATGCAGAATTAATATGCCTTAAATTGTGTGCCTTAAGAAAACAGAAGATACATAAGATGTATATGAGAATACCTTTTAAAAATGGGGGGAAAAGATAGTAAAATGAAAATTAATAAATAAAGGATACTTTTTTTCCTATATAGTTATTACGTATGTGCACTCATTTTTTTTTTTTCATCTCAGTCTCGGAAGAAATAATTGTGTAATATCAAAAAAAGCAGGATTGGCAGTTATTTTGATTATTACTTGTTTTTAATAAATATTTTATGAAATAAACGTGTTAGAATACTTTTTCAAAAGATTTCCCGTAATTTTATTTGATGTGGTTAGGAGGAAGTCACGGCAGATATTTATGTAAAATCACCAAATTATAAAGACTTCCATGAATCTTGAGTGGTAAACCTAACACTAGTCAATCCACAAAAACAGAAAACTTGAAAGTAAAAAGTAACTTTCTCGATTGTCCTTTTTATTTTGCACAGAGATGGTTCATTAGGACAAAATCATATTTTCTCTACACTTGCTTCTGCTAACTAAAATATATTTAACAGGCTAATTTTAAAAATTGCTTAAAGGTGCTTATTTTCGATTTTCGTTTTTAAAAGCCTTTAAAGGTTTTTTTTTTATTGGATGTTTTAAAAAAGTGCTTAATTTTCCCTTTCCCAAAATGAGATATTTTTTCTTTACCATGTTGCTTTTCACCATGTATTATTCAAAAGCACATTTCACATTGTTCTATTCAACATTTTCACTATTCATTCAAACACAATGCATTTTGGCGCACCGTCATTTCATAGCATATGAAAGCGCCAATCATTTTACATGCTTGATGAAATATTTGTGGGCTTGGACATGGGCCCAATACCTAACCAACCAGGCTGTCCTGGCCACTTGTAATAATAAATGAAGGACATTTTAATTAAAAATGCATGTTTTATCAAGTAATAATCTATTTAAAACATGTTTTTTTTCCTTAATCCATGGAAGAAGAGCATTTTTTGTATTAAATACATCAAATTTCATGTGTTCAAAATACTGACATCTCTTTTTGTTCCAATAGCAAATGCCACTTCCCTTACCTATTATTTTAAAGAAAAAAATTGCATAAAATCAATATATTTTTTTATTTTATTAATAAATACAAGAAACTAAAACAAAAGGTTGAAATTTGAATTTTTTTTTTTATGTGTAAGGATCATTTAATTTAAAATCAGTTAACTATCCTGTCATCTTGAGCAAATATGTTAAATATGAGTCTTTGTATGATAGTTCTTAAAACAAGGTACAACACAAAATGATACTTTTCAAACGTCAGTGAAGGAATATGCTATTTTTTTATTACTCTTATTGCTATGCAAATTCAGCAACCATCGTGTATGCAGTCACAGAAAACACGTGTGCAGTCCAACATTAAAACTCCCAAGTAAAACTTGGCAAATTTCCAATTACAGCAGATTGTGTTTATTGCTTCCGACTGAGTAAAAGCGCGATAAAACAAAATGCACTGACACATTCTGCTAAACCCGAGGTTTTATGGGATGATAAATTTTTGCACTATATACGTACTAGAGTTAACTCAAAATAATCAGAGAAGCGATTAAATGTTAAAATAATTTCGATTTAAATGAACCATTCAGGATTTGTTTAATTAATTTATTGATCATGGGCGTATTTGAGTCAGGATTTTGGTAGGGGAAACCAGTTGATCCCATGTGTTTATGTGTGTGATGACCACCCCTCTCTCTTCCCCTCAGCTGAACAAGCTGCAGCAACTGGCAACCCTACAGCATGCCTCCACTGCACCCCTCTTGCCTGGGCACTCCGCGACACCTCAAGGTAGCCATTGACCCTTTCTTCCTACTTTTACGCTTCTTCTATCCTCTGTCTTTTTTTTTTTTATGTCTCACGTTTCATATATATATATATATTTTTAGTGAACAGTTTTAGATTCAGGTAAACATTTATTTATTTGGTCAGTGGTTCCCAACTGAACGTGGATTTCTGATTCAAGATTGAAGAGAACAAGGGTGAGCAGCAATAGGATACCAGATTTATCGATCAGAGTTGGCAAGGTTTTGGACAGAATGGTCTAAGTCTACGATTTAATATGGGGTTTAAACCGTCCGGTCCAAGACCCCTTTATCAAAAACTGTCCAAAACCCTTTTACTCAAATTATGTCACAATTTTTAAGAAAAACAATGCAAAAAATATAAGGTTAACTTTTGAGCAAGAAGCAAAATGAAAAAACGTTTTGGTTTTATTTAAAAAGTTTATTTTTAATGTTACTTTATTTATTCTTATACAAAAACATAATTTATCAGTATTAAAAGCATATTTATTAATATTTAAAGGATAAGGTATTCACTTTTGTTGTTCAATGAATTGGGGAGCTTCAAAAGTTATAGTTCTTTTCCTATTATATTATATTATTTTCTTGTAATAAGTTAAAGCAAATTCTAAAAAAGTATCAAATATTTGTTAATATATGTAATTATTATGTGTACAATGGATACACACATAGAATTTTTACTTGTTACCAATGGTCAAGGTTTTGGACACTTTAAGACAGTTTTAGTCAGTTTGAGATAGTAAACCCCATGTCCAACTAAACTGTCCAAAAACTAGTTTAGGATGTCCAAATCTTCAACCCTGCTATAGATACAGGAAAAACAATGAATGCAGGTCTGCATAAGCATAAATAATGGCATAAAATGTATGAAAAATAATAAAGCAGAAATGGACTTGAAAATTTCCATGAATAAATTTATAATGAGTGTAACAAAAATTTTATTAAAAAAAGTCATGTACTGAATGTGAAAATATTTTGTGATGAAGAAAAAATAAGAGCAAAAACATTTAAAATGTTTGGAAATTTCAGACCAAACGCAATAATTTTTTCTTAACACAAAAAAATAAATTTTAGATATTTGCTGTTCATTTTCATCGCAATATGTGACGCTCCTCATTGTTTGAATCTCCAATTGTTGTACTGTTTCGTCTTTGTACACTTCTTCAGCTTTTGCAGTCATATCCTGATCACCAGAAGTTCAAACGTTAACTGTAGTTTGAGGTGTTATCCTCAAATTGCATTAAAAGTGACTGTTCTCCTTCTCTAGATTACTTCAATTTTTTTAAAAAAAATATCATAAATAAATATTTAAAAAAAACAGCATTTTTGAACTATAAACACAGGAATTTTCCAATTTTGAAAATTATCTAAACGTGTATTATTAACTTTAAAAGAGTAGCTTTTGTCGCAGAACCATTAACCCCTTCCTTCTTGCTCCCCTGAAAATGACAGGGTGAGGTTTCGCCCTCTATCTCTCGCTCCCGTGATTTTTCCTGTCTGAAGTGTTCAGTAGTAACGCACCAATAAGAATAAAACTAATTCATTTCTTTTGCCCGGAAAACTTTTTATTTCTCATTTTACACACGAGAACACAGTACCAGGACATTTTTAAGGTAATTGTAGATAGTTAGTTTATTTTAAACTAGATGTCAGCCCTAATCAAATAGCACTAATAAAAAAATCGGCACTTTTATTACCGTTTTCTTGAAAATTAACCAATCGTTAAGGGATTAAAGCAAGACAATACATGCTGGAAAATAAAAGATATCAGAACCCTAGCAGCAAAATAACTTGGTCCCTCAATTGGACCTGAATCTTGGCTCAGTAAGGGTTCAAAGGGCGTTTATTTTTTTGATATTGGCCCTATATAAAACTTTTCGATTAACCCTATTTTTTTACAGCCAATATCGGTCCTATATAGAATTGTCAGATTCACAAGATATTTTATATCCATTATTTAGCCAATGTGGGTTCTATATTGGCCAATATGGGCCTTATATAGGTCATTCTAGGACCAATATTAAAAAATCTAGACATCCCAATATTGGTCTTTCGGTGCATGTTCTTATAGGACCCTCATTGATCCAATTTTGAACCCAACTGTGGCCAAGGTCTTTCGGTGCATGTTCTTATAGGACCCACATTGATCCAATTTTGAACCCAACTGTGGCCAAGGTAAAATTTTTGGTATTGAAGATATATTGAGGCTCAGCTGGTATTAAAAAACCAATCTCATTTTATTGAATAAATATTCAGATAAAAAATTACCTTGAAGCTGGTGGTTAAACTATTAAAATCTAATCAGCTAAAGAAAGATAAACGGTAACAAAGGAGAGAAAATAAATATCAAAGGAAACTAATTTCTATTCATGTTTAATGCTCCTTCGATATTTAAAGTTGAAGCATTGATGTGGATATATTATTGTTAATATTATTTTTTCGACAAATTAATAGGTGGCGCATTAATGTTTTAAAAAGCATTCAAAAAAGTTCCGTTAACCAAATGCAAATCCTTCTACTGTTTTAGAATCTCTTCCACAACAAAAAGGCTGTCACCCAAAACAAAATTGAAAACGTTCAATAGTATACAAAACAATATATATTTAATAAATGATGATTGTTTAGCACCAGTCTAAATTATTTGGTGTATTGCTTGCCTCATCAAACTAAAAAGCACTAATATATTTTTTTACCTTTCTGGTTTTGTGAAAATTTCGAGAATTTTCTATTTTCCAACCCATAATGCTCAAATTAATAATCACAGGGTGAGAATGAAAGTTAAGCTATTCAGATTGTTTCCTATAAACGATGCTCTACCCTTAATCGAGATCAGTGTGTTCAATGCTTTCCAAAAGTTTCTGTGAAACATTATAAACTTTCTGTATTCTCTGGGTTCTCATTAGAAATTATTTTGATCTAAAAGGTGCCAGGATAAGATTCAAGAAATGGGCTGCCAATTGTTTAGAAACCACTTGTGTTAAGCAATACTGATCATCCAACTCTTAAAGAGTCATAAATTTTTTGTCGATATACAGTACAACTATAAAAATTACATGATTCATAGAAATGTACATGACTTTTTACTACAAAATATTTTCTTTATTAGAGAATAGTATGCAAATAATTATAATATGTAAGATGTTATTTTAATGCAAATGGACAATCATAATTAACTTTTATTTTATCTCCATTCTGTAAAAACTTTTCAATAAAAATATTATTAAACAAAATGTTGTTAAACAAAAGTTTTACTAGAAGAAGCTAAATATTACTGTTTTCATATATTACTTATCACACTTTTAAACGAATTGTTAAATGTTTTCACTCATTTAGCAAGAAATCTATCTAAATTTTAAATAAACCACCTACCAATAAATTAGGCTTAATACCTATGATTTCAAAAGTTGGTAACACAAATCAGGCAAAAAACAAAGTATATGTATGTTAACAAAACAGCACTTCATCAGGGGACACACTGTCTGCCAACATGCAGGAACCTCTCTGTCGTCAATAGCGATACCAAAATTTTGTGAGTCAGTTTTGTCAGTGGTAATATATTTTGGTATTACTACTAACAGCAGAAAGACTCCTGAATGTTGGCATACAGTGTGTCCCCTGATGATGTGCTGTTTTGCTAACATACGTATCTTTAGAATTCTTCGTTTTTTGCCTGATTTGTGTTTCAAACTTTCTAAATTATTGAAATAAGACAAATTTGGTTTTAGCTGCTTTTAGCACTTTTTCATTTTGACTTATTATTTTAAAAGTTATTTTAGAAATTATTTTTTATGTCCTTTTCTGAAATCAGTTTCATTCTTTGTTTGGCTTAATACTTGTCCTAATATCAAAAACTATTGCAATTCTCTATTTGATAATTTTCAAAATTGTGCAATTTTGACAACCTTTTAAAATTGTTACTAATCTTGCCAAATTTTTCTCTTGTCTTTAGCTTGGGCATCTTTGGCGGCAGCAAACAGTGTTCGTAACTTGAGCAGAGCCGCTTCAATTTCTCCTACTTCTACAGCTGAGATGACCATTTCAAATGAACTTATTGGCTGTATTATTGGAAAAGGGGGAACAAAAATAAATGAAATCAGGTATCATAAGAAATTTCACCTGTTAACCTTGTTTTCATCTCTCTTTGATAAAAGTTTTATCAATATCTGTTCAATATTTCTTTCTTGTTATAAAGGCAAATTTCTGGAGCCATTGTCAAAGTATCTAATACAGAAGAAGGCTCAAAAGATCGAACTGTAACAATCACTGGAACTCCAGCTGCTGTAAACTGTGCTCAGTATCTCATCAATGCAAAGTAACTATTAATTATTTTCTTTGTATATTTATACCCACCTCAGTATTGAATATTACTTTATGTCCGGCTGACTCACCATTTTTTTTAACAAAAATGGATATAACACGTCCATTATAGAGGTGACACAAAAAATAAATTATGATGCATCCTCTGACACGTAATTCTCCAGAGTGAGAAAAAAGTATCGCACCAGCAGGTTTATATAAGTAAAATTATAATGAAACTTTAAATATATTTAACATGGTGCTTAACATTTTTAAAAAGTGCTTAAAGGTAGTTATTTTCATTTTTTAAAAGCTCTTAAAGGTGCTTTTTTCATTGGGTGTTTTTAAAAAGTGCTTAATTTTCCCTTTTCGAAAAGGGGATGTTGATTTTTGCCATATATTGTGTAAAAGCATCCTTTTCACATTGTTCTATTCAACGTTCTTGCAATTAATTCAACCACAATCTATTTTGGTGTACCGTTGGTCGTTAGCATATGAAAGCGCCAATCATTTTACATGTTTGATAAAATACTTGAGAATTTGTACATGCATATATATAGACCTGGTTCGGTGAGATTATTGCACTCCCATGTGCAACTCTGCTGCATTTTGTAAGATATTCTCAATTTTAGGCTTCATTTTCCACCTGAACCGAAAAATTTCTCGAGCATTTTATAATGGCTAATATAATCAAGAAAAGAGTTCTTTGTCAGAAAGAACTCTTTGTCAGTAGTTATTTTATCATGAAGTCTTTTATCTAAAGTCTTTGAAAATTATTTTGTAAAAGTATATAGTACTTAAAAATATTTTTTGCATGCTTAAAAGGTGCTTAATTTTCGTTGAAAGATTTTGCTATGCACCCTGCATAATGTTCTTTGTTTTTTTGTTAGTCATTAATAACTGAAGGAGAAATTAAAGCAGTTCTGAGTATCCTCACTTCGTTGCTTTTGGTATTTGTTCAGTTTTAATTAAAAGCCTTGATTGTTCAAGTAGAATTCTTGTGAAATGCTTTGTTTTATCTATTAATGAATAGAATAATTATGAATATGAATATTAGCAGAGGGGTACAAATTCATATTTTAAAGAGGTACTGTCTTTTAGTAAAAAGGGACATAAAATATGGAAGTTCTGAGGACCCGTAGTTTCTAAATTCTAGCAGAATCACTGCATGCAGTCTGACTTTGAGGAGAATAGTTTATCCTTTATTGAAAACTGACGGCAGCAGAACAAAATTTAGACATTAACTCATGATACCTGTCATCATGATGATCGTCATAATTAAGATGAAATAAAACAAACTCATTATAATGATGAATGATGCGAAACAAGATGACAATTTGTAATGAGAAAAAGCAAAATAGGAATGACTGACACGTTTTTATCCTTATCTAATTTATATATATACAATTCCAACGTAAATAACTAAAACTACTATATTTTATCTTAAAATTTAACAAAATCATTTTACTTCCAAGTTTAAAGAAAGCACTTTACCTTAAAACTTTAGGAAATACTAATTTTTATTTTTCTTACATTCACAAATTCAACTTTAGAAAAGACAGTAGTTCCACAAAATACTTTAAAAAAAAGCAAGTTCTGAGATTCTCCACCACTTAAAATTTTGTTTTTGTAACCCCATAAAAAAACTATAAATTCCAGAGTTTTTTAAAATGAAACAATGAGGTTATCTCTCTATAAACTATGCAGGAAGTCTAAATTCGAACATCATTCTAAACATTCAAACATTATCTTAAACATTATTGTAAATTTATTCTATCAGATATTTTTTTTATGAATTTTTTTTTCCCTTGTGAAACTTTTTTCTGTATGACCTAGTCGAAAATGTTCTCATAATGAACATAACTTTAAGCTCTAGTACTGTTAAATGCAAACAGAAATTTAACAATGGAAAATGGATTTTTAAATTTGGATATATTTTAAGCTCGAGATTTTACAATAGCAAAATTATTTTTTAATATATGGGGGAAAATATATAGAAATTTACCAGTCATAAATGATTTTTATTTGTAGTGACAATTTTTGAAAATAATTTCTTATTTTACCATAGATTTTTTAATGATTTTTGTGTTGATTTTTTAATGTAATTTTTAATTTTCACAATTTATGTTTAAATTTTCACGAAATAGGTACTCTAAAAAAACCTGGACAGACAGATCCCTGATGATTATGCGCGATGTATCAAAACTTTGCTCGTAGCCCAAGAAATACCGCTAGTAAAATTTCCGTTTTTTTATTTCTCCTATGTTGTCTAGTATGGTTAAGCTTATTTAAAAAAAAAATTCTTAAGTATTTTCAAGAATGTTTAGAGAATCACAAACTTCTCCCCTTGCTTTTAACAGTTACATTTTGTTTGTTGATTTTAAAATGCAATTCCCTTAATATTGATTTTTTTTTGGATTTTTTTTAGTATTGAAAGGCACAAGACACTCGATCCGAAATCAGTGGCTGGAACATGTCCAGTTTCCATGAGCTTTGCCCCATCTTTGGCTGCTACCCAACTTAGTCCTTTGACAGCTGCATCTCTGGGGCAGCTTGTCAAAACCACCCCATCCCCTTTGGCTCTGGGTCTTGCTCCAGCTGCTTTCCTCCGCAATTCTGCAGCAGCTGCTCTTTTTGCAGCAAACTTCAAACAATTCCAAGCAAAGAACTTGTCTTACAAGCTGAGGACAGCAACGGCGACTGCGGCCGGCATGAAGAAAGAGGACCGCAACAAGTTCTCTCCATACTGAAAGTATCTTCTGGGATCTGTTCATACAAGTGACTGTGTATGTGCCAAAAACAGTTCCTCATGAACTCTAAAACAGGGTGGTCTGAATGGGCCTCAAAAATTGGTGATCCTTCAAAGTCTTTTATTAAACTTTAGGTTAGGTTTGAGCTCCACTTGATGATGGCCAAATAAAAGACGTTGCAGATTTTTTTGTTGTTCATGAAAAATCTTTCTATATTTGATTACTATACATTAGGGTGTATCACAAAATACGCTTTTTCATAATTTCAAGTTGGTTGAAAAGTTGTATTATGATCATATATTTTCCACACAAAAAAAATTTTTTTTTGTCTCATTAAAATTTTAAGTTTGTTATGTAAAGTGATACTAAAAAATAATTTTATATGAAATGTAGCATTTAAGTCTCCTAGAATCTTTAATCAAGGTAATAATCCCTGTGGCAGAATTTTTTTGAACTTTCTGCGACAATTCTCTCTTGTACTAATACCTTTCTGAAATTAATTTTTAATAGTAGCATATATATATATATATATATATATATATGCCTTCATGGTCATAATAGACCAGTATATATTTTTCTTAATTATAAATGTAAGAAGTTTTTTTTTTTAATATACATATAAAACAGTAGATAGTCTGATATTATTGGCGATATCCTCCTGTTCAAAAAAAAAAAATTTTGTAGTTAACTTTATGGGATTTTATTGATTTGAAAAACTTCCCGAATAAAAAATCTTTCTGCATTAACTCTGTAATGCTCTGCGACAATGTCGCTACGATTCTGCTATGGGGGTAAATATCTAACCTAAAAATTGGTTGGAATTGAAAGCATAAATATTTGACAATGAAAATTAAGGTTTTCATGCAGATTTAGGAAGACTTAAATGTTGTATTTTTATAAATTATTTTATTGTTACTTTATGTTCAAAACTTAATAGTATTGAACTTTGAACATAAACAAAAATTGTTTATATTTATACTTTTTAAAAAATTTAAATTCACCTTTTTTTCTAGTTTGTCTCAAAAATGGAAACTTTTAGTCCTATTCTGAAGTAGACCTTAATATTTCTTAATTTAATCAAAAAATTTTTTATAAATATGTAAACAACTTAAGCCTTTGATATTCGGAAAAAAATTGTTTTACACTCTATTGTTTACTATCTATGTCTCACTTTTTAAAGCCAGTGTGATGTAAAAAAAAAAAAGGAATATCCCATCAAACTGTACTCGTGTTTATTAGGAAAAATTTGTTTTAAATATTGTAGTATTTGCAGATTAATGGACTTCCATTTTCCCTGTTTTGAATTTCTGTTATTATTCAGTATACTTGTATTTCCTAGTCAGATGTTTTGCACTCATTTATATTTGTAACATGCACACCTTTTCATAATGGTGATATATATAGAGATAAGTGTTAGTTGTGCAATCATCAATGCATATATGTTGTGTTAGAGTATTCAATATAATTGCTCTGAATAATATAATGTTTATTGATAAATTTATGATTTTTGTTTTATTGATTGGTAGTGGATTTAATTATGTATTGAATAAATTTATGTCTGAAATTTATTTAGTTATGTTTAGGAGATAGCTATTTTTATTTATTTTGGAAATATTATATCATTCAGTATAAAATGTTTGTATTTTTAAAAAATTAACTAATGCTTTTTTTTTATTTAATTTTTTTAAATAAATATTTTTAGCGTTAAATGTTAACGGACTATTTATTTAAAAAGCTTTGCTGTCTAGTTTAAATCAGAAATTTCTTTTAACATATAGGACCTAACGTTTAACTAATTGCAAATCTCTTCAAAGTTTTCTTTGACAGCCTTGGTTTAAATTCAGTTACTTAAAAATTATTTGATTGTAATTTACTTTACAAGTATGTAAATCATGTCGAAATAATACCTGATTAGTATTTTATTTTATTATAATATTTTCATTGAAACATGCTTTTGGATTTTAAATTGGCTTATAGTGAAAAATATGCATTCGTTTAAAACTTATTAATAGTAATCGAGAAGCCTTGACAGACATTTCATACTTAATGATATGATGTTGTAAATTTTATTTACAGGTTAATATTTATTTATTTTTATTAGATACTCAAAAGTTTGAAATATATAAAAGTTATATTCTAACTTATGTCTTTGTTATACTTTTCAGAACTATACTTTTTTTTCAAATGTGAAAGGAGTGTTTTTGTACTTCTAAAATACCCTGAATTTTTCAGATCTTGCATGATTGGTTTCAGGGTTTTGAAGTATAAATTTATGTTTATCTTAATGCTACTATATATAATGTCCTCTGAATGTCCCACCATCTTTTAAAAAAGAATAAATTGCTTAAAATCTCTAGTTTAATTAAGATTGTCCATGTATCTTTTCTTGTTATGTTTTTAAAGAGTACAATCATTGATTTTTTTTTTATACATATGAAAGTTTTATATGTAGTGTGTGTGATTTGTTATTAGCCTACAATATATTTTATTAAACTGAATTTTGTTTCTTGTCCATTCTGTTCAAAAGAATTATTTTCAATTTCCGTAGAATATCTATTTGAAATTGGAATTATATTTAACTCTAATGTTGATTCCTCCCTTCATGTGAAATATTTGTTTATGAAATTTAATTTTATTTTGTTTGTAAAAAACATTTCTTAATTAATTCTAAAAAATTGAACTTTAAAACTTTGTCTTTTAGCATCGAAAAGCTTTAGTAATGATAAAATTTATGATTGATTTGTTTCAAGAAACTTTTTAGAAGATTCTTATTAATCTATTATTTTTTAGGTTTTGGAACATGAGCTTCTTTATTTTCATCCAGTATTAATTTATGTGTGTTTAAAAAATGATCCTATTTTGTTTTTTGATATATGTTAATCTGTAATACAAATTAAGTTTTATTTCAGAAGTTATCTTAAAAATTTTCAATTTTTGTATCAAAATAATGAGGTTTTTAAAAGTTGAACTTTTCCCTAAGTTTTTTAGTGTAAATAATTATAAATTTTATTGCATATTAAATAGCAGATAATTTTAAAATTGATCAAAAATTCTAATTTCTTTAAAGATATATCTATCACTCAAATTTTAAATACTATCATTATTTTAAAAAAAAATTTCTTTAATGACATTCTAAAGTTTTAATGATTAGTTTTCAAACATGTTAAAATGTGTTTTTAGAGTTTTACTTTTATTGCCAGATTATTATGAATGTATATTTTAATGAAAAATTCTATGTAGTGAACTGCTTTCTTCCGTTGTTATAATTTCTAATGATAATGTTCCTGAATACTTACAAATGGTACTTAAAAACCTTTTTCTGCAAACTATTCAGTTTATTAGATTCAAGTTAATTCTAGATTAATTGAAACTAATTTTTCAATTTTAAGAGCATTAAATTCTACATGGAGCACTTTTTATAAACTCCACATGTGTTTTCAATGGACCAAACTCTAATGTTTTCTATGCATATTTAAGGAGAAAAAAGTCGCTATTTTGAGTAGAGAAAAAAATAAAGCTTTGAAATATTTTCCTATTTAATTCCATTCAGATAATGTGTGCTGTCTTAGAAATAGTTTGTTGCTCAAAATAGTGTTTTCTTGATGTCTCAATTCCCACCTCTAATATTATCTTACCAAATTTATATTTTAAGACATCAAAAACATGATACTGTCTGAGATCTGAATTTTTATGGCGAAAAGACTAAATTTTAAAATTTCTGCATTTGTGGTATTTTAGTTTAAGACTATATTTTGATCAGCAATTGTTAATTTTCAACGAATTTTTTTTTCCAAAGAATTATGTCCTGTGCACACTATAACCAAAATTATCTTATTTAAAATTTATGTTATTTTAAATATCTTCGGAAAAAGTATCGATTGCTATGTGAAAATTTGCCCAACATTGCGATAATTATTCTCTCACCCCTCTAGAGTAATGGAGAATTCATATCCGTCAAAATTATTGAAAAATGTACTGACTTGTGAATAGTTGCCAACTCTACTGGATTTTACCAGTTTCTCTCGGTCTACTGGTTTAATTAAAACTTCCTGGTTTTTATTCATTTTAGAAAAATCCCTAAAATTGAGTTAGATTACTAAAAATAAGTATTACTAGTACATAACGAAGCGAACCTCATTTATAGAAATCATCAAAATAGTTAAAAACTTTTTTGTTATAAAATGTTCACTTTATTTTTATTTTCAGAACTCTTTATAAATTAATAAAAAAATCTTTTAATTATCTTTGATGAATTAAATGCCTATCAATATTCAAAATTATAAGTATACATAATATTTTAAGTATCTTTAATGTTTATCATAAGTAAAAAATACAGCAGTTTTTTCTATTTTGATGATTATAAAATTCCCTATGTGTAAAATATTTAGTACATTATGCAACAATTATCATGAAATTTATATTATCTATTGGATTTTTTCCTATCCATATGTTGGCAGGTTTGCTAGTGGTGGACAATCATTTGAGTAACATTTTTGGCTCAACAATTTTCACAAAAATCCTTTCATGATGGTAAAAAGAATAATAAGAAAATATAATTCCATAAGCAACGTGTGTTAATTGACCATTTATATTTTAACTAAATTACTTTTTTAATATTCAATTGCATTATTACTGCCCAACAACGCAGTATTATCATTCCTTAATAAAAAGAAAAAGGCATTCAATTGAAAGAGAAATTTCAAAAATTAAAACATGGATATATCACCAAAACTCCGGACATTAGACTAGAGATAAAAGCTTGCCCCTGTATCTTAGCTCTTTCCTGTGAGCTTATGCATTTTTTGATGTTATTAAGATTTACTGATTTTTATTGCCATTATAGAGTATCGAATGTCATTTGGAAATCATCAGACTTTTTAATTCTTAATATCATCCAAGTATAACAATTTCATTTCACTTATTTTGCAAGAATTAAATTTTTCTTTTCTTTTTTTTTTTTTAAAAAAAAAAAAAGGTGTGTGGTGGACAAAGCTACAATAAAATATCATTAAGCTTATTCTATAATTGATGTTACTTTAAAAAGCTTTTAATGAATTCTGAAAATGAAGCACCAAGTTTGTAATTCTTCGTAACTGAGCTAACAATTTGGGAACAAATGTGTATATTACATAAGAAAAATTGTGTAGATAGTTTCATTTTATAAATTTTAGTATAGATATGCAGGGTCTAATTATGAAATGAGGCTTGATTAAAAACATTAGGAATTCAGTTTTGAAAAAATTTTAAATCTTACTAATTTTAAAAAAATAATTATATAGCATTCAAAGTATAAAAATATGCCAAATATTTATTTAGAATATTTTGCAAAGAATTGGGGGGAAAATGTAAACTCCTTATTGGTCATAATCAGGCTCTGTTTATATAAACTATAGAGAGTACTTAATGATTATAATTATTAGAAGTTTTTCCTCTTGTAATTGTTGATGTGTTTAAATTTAGTTATTTGAACTTTCTTTTTTGTGAGTAGGAACTGAAAATATCTAGACTGTCTTACCAACATATTATTAAATGTTTGTTGGCTACTTCAATGGATAGTTAAAGCGATGAAAAAAGAATAATTGTATTAAAGAAATAACTGAACACTTTTACAGGATTAAACTGAGTTTGTGTCGCATCAGTTTTGACAGCAAATATTTGAAGCTGAGTTTGAGTTCTAATAATGTTGAGAACAAATGGTTTGAGTTGAGTTGAGGTTGCATCAATTATGACAACGAATAGCTTAAGTTTACATTGTGTTGTATCAGTTTTGACAACGAATTACTTAATTTGAGTTTGTGCTGTATCAATTTCGACAATTGAGTATGATTTGAAATAATTTTGACCAAAAAAACAATCTATTAAGCATTATATTAGTTCTATTTAACCTACACTCTAATTTTCTTTCTTTAGACAATTATAAAAAAAAATGGAATAATAACTGTTTTACACATTGAAGTAGCCAATAATAAGTTTTCTATTTCTGCTTTTGCCATAACCTTCTCAAAACCAAAATGAAGCTTAGTATCTGCAATTGTGCTTGAATTTTGAAAAATAAATTAATTGCTCAATTTTATAAATTTTGATGTTACTAGTTGTAAGTGTAGATATTTCATTAATGATATACATCAAATTGTAGATATTTTCAACACTTTTAGAGACTAAATTTTTAAGTGTTTATATTGCGATGAAGCAATAATATTGGCACTCTTTAATTTCACCACTATATCAATTTTATAATGTCCTTTGCTTTTTTTTCTTCAATCACATCTTTGAGACTTACTCAAAACTTTTATGACTGAAACAGTATTAGATGTGGAATTTGTATCACACTAGACAAACTTTTTTTTTCCTCGTTTAAAGTGCATTTTGTTAAATGGCATCTTGAAAACACAGTACTTAACATGTTATGGTTGGTTGTATGCATAGTATAGTCTGTCAAGTTTTTAAATAGA